GGCAAAAAAGTTAGGGTTGTACGAAAATTGTTTAAGAAAATGAGTCACTGAGAGGCTTGTAGAAAATAACTTATTTTTAACAAGTTGTGTAGTCAAAATCCACGTCTTATGGGTCCTTGATTTTCTCCAAAATTGACATTCTCCGATCGATATGGTCATACTCGAGGTCTCCGAATTTAAAGGATATTTTGACTTTTAAGAGTACTTAACTATTAAAAATTGCTCCATTTTCACCCCTTTACATCCTTTTCCCAGATACAGCAAAGGCGCTTATAAAAATGGATCAGGTCCGATTTTCGTTGAACACTAAATTTTTTGAAAATTGCAAGTTACAAATAGGATAGAATGGCAAATAATCTTGGATGTTTGTCGCCAAACAACACTTTTATGATTAGGGACTTCAAAATATATATTTGTGGTAATAGTAAGTCAGAATTAATCAATAGTGTCCTGGGTTAGTGTTATCATAGGTAATACCATGAGTTCTTTGCAAATTGTTGATTAACCCCGACTCGCGAAGCGAGGGGATTTATCTAAGCACGAGTGGTATTTAATATGACTATTTCACGAGTGAATTACGCCCAGCATAGTTCCAAAATGCGCCAAATACTGTGTATGTTAAAATCAAAGAGGTTACGTTGTAATACATATGAGGATTATTGAACATCAACGAAGCGATTGATGTATTCCGCCTCCTAACATAGCAGATGAGTCACAGTTTATTATTGGCCAGAAGGGAGACCCTGTAAGAAAGGTCGGATGGAAAAAGCTATTGGTTTTAATTTCACAAGTGAAATAATCGCTTTAAATTCTAGTTTCGGAAGAAGGAATAAAAGGAGGGACCGTGCGTGTTGCTTGCATTTTATAAATTTTTCGCCCATTATAGACGCAGCACCGGTAATTTGCGACAAGCACTTCATTTCATTTTTTTTATTATCCTGGTTAGTTCCCGGAAGAGGCAAATACGAATACGTAACTATCCAATACTAACCGTCTCAGTTTCTAGAGCTCGGTGACGAAAGAAAAAAATCACTCAGACCAAGTAACCTAATTACGGTGATGAAAATATGTCATGTCTCTCTTACCCTAAGGCACGGACAACAAATAACTAGTGGTGCGACAGAATGGCACACACTTCCCATTAGTTTTTTAATTCCTTTGGTCTCGGCGTACTTGGATTTGCCACATACTCTTGCCAGCTGCCATCTATCGCCGCCCAAATTACATTATTTGAAATTTTATTAATTTTTTGGTTTCCTAATAGTAGAACGGAAATATTATTTTCAGAATATTAAAGACAAGTAAAACCTCACCCTAAAGAAAAATTTTCTTGGAAAAATTTGGATCCGTTTTTAAGAAAATGGCGTTCAAGCGCTACTGTAAATTCGAAATTTGAAGCTCCTTTTCGCAGAAAATTTTTGAATTTTCGAAAAACTTCATTTGCAGTAATTTTTAGTACTATAACTCACAAATACAATAGTGTTTACAACTGCTGGAAATGTGCATATCAACGGCGTGAGAGATCTTTCAAAAAATTACATTTGTGTAATTTTTGAAGAATCAAAAAAGTACACAGAAATTAACTTTACGTCATGTTGGAGTGCAATTAGCACTATTCGTCCGAAATGTGTGAAGAAAAAATTGAAGCCGTTTTTGAGAAAATGGCGTTTGAGCGTTTTTGAAAATGTGGAATTTTGAATTGATCATTTATTGTAAGTGGCGATTTTTGAGCTAGTTTTCACAGAAAACAGTTGAATTTTTCAAGAAACTTTATGACATTATTTAAAGCACCTGTACTTATAAATACAATAATGACAAACAAACTGCCGCTAATGCAAGTATTAACATGAGAGAAGTCAAAAAAATTATTTTTGTTTGAAAAAACAAAAAAAAAAACAAACAAACAAATAGAGCAATATGGCGTTTATGACATCTTATAGCGTACACTTAGCACTATCCCTACCGAAAGTTTAAAGAAAAAAGTTGGAGCGGTTTTTGAGAAAATCTTCTAGTAATTTTTAAAAATCGCAGAAATTGAATGCAATATTGCGTGAAAACAACTAAAATTTTCAATAGATATACGTGACGTTGATGAAAGAACTCACTATGGATAACAAATTTCATTTGAAGGAAAAATCTCCATCTTCAATTTTGTAGTTGTAGGAAGATACTGAAAAAAATCACTTTGAAAATTTTCGAAAACTGAGTTATCCATGAAAATCGGACCTTTGAAGTGTTTATAAGTGTATGTTACTCTATTCTTACTAGAAATTTATAGAACCATTTGGAGCCTTTTTGAAAAAATTTTGAAAATGTTCGGAGGACTTCATGTAAAGTACCCCAAAATTTTAAAGAATTTTTTTCTAAGGTCTGGGAACACCATTAGCTGGCAAATACCAATACATACTTACATCCTGGTTACTAATGATGTCGAGAGCCTGCAATTATGCAATTTTTTTTCCCTTAAAATAAAATTATCATGTTGATACAATCACAGATATTGTTCACTGTCCTTTCCAAGCTACTTCCCTTTCTTTCATAAGCATGTTTAATGTGCCTCTGACTGGAAGGTCCATGGCTTGAGTCCTGACAGGGGCCGGATTTTCAAGGAATGCCTGGAATCACTAACAATTAAACAACCATTTTTACTTGATAGATACTACTATTTTAACCTTCTCTCAGGAAAGTGTAATGTGTTTGTTTTTTGGGTATGGTTTTTAAAAGTTTGTGTTCATTTGATCATAAAATGGTAGCAATAACAGTCATTGTATTCTAGAGAAAAGTAAATAAAGTACTGTAGAATTGGTGTATTTTGAAGGGCAAGGCCAAGGACAAACAATGATTTTTCATGATTACATTATTAATTAATGTAGATAATTTGTTCTGTATTCTTGTAAAAGAAAAATTAATTTCCTAACATTTACACCATTTGTCCCCCTGAATCCTTGAAAAGAGAATAGATACTTTACTCTAGTCTACAAAAGCATTTACGTCAAAAATGTTTCATTGTTCATAATTCATATACATACACTAAAAGCCTTTAAATATGATTAGACTAAAATAGGAATTTTCCTAAATATTTGAAATTAATATCATATTTGTCAAATACATGCAATGAATTTACTCAATTTAATGCTTTACAATGGTATCACATCACTTAGTTCTGTGATTTGTAAGCATTTTCATATTTTTTGTCAACTAAAACATAATGTGGCAATGGTGTAATGGTTAGCATTTTGGACTGTTGTACCCAAGTTGGCGGGTTCAAACCCTATCGAAGCCGTGGATTTTTAAGGACGAAAAAATCCTTCGTACGCCTTCCTTCGTAGGGGAAGTAAAGCCGGCTGTCCCATGTTAGAAGATTTACTTACATGTAAAAGATCCTCAAGCCTAAATGACGCCTCTGAGCCAAATTCAAATCGCCTGTTTCTCGCCCAAGAAATACCTCCTTTCTCTGCTAGTCAGTGAAAGGAGCGTAGCCCCGACGGAAGAGCAGGCCTAATGGCCCGAGTCTTGCCACGTAAAATAAGGCATTAATTAAATTCAATTGTTTCAACAAATTTTACAAGTTTTGAGACATTTAGAATCAATTGAAGCTATTCCTATGTTGCATATATCACCATTATTTCTTATTTGAGCATAAGCACGTTTTTCTGCACATTTGCCCTTCCTATGTAGAAACTTCTCAGAAGGCTGACCAACTTCTCCATCGCTGCCATTTTGGATTTCAATGGTAAAGTGTTAATGTGTCATTCACCTTCAAAACTATTGTTGATAGACTGTGAGCCACTTGAAAAATATAATCATGCAACGTTTAGAACGTATTTCGATGGATCAATTTGAGTTCTTTGGCTTAAGAGGGGTTCAGCACAAAAAAGGCCAAGGAGATGCCGCTCCAAATATGGTACAAGCAATGGATAATTTTTTTATCCTTAACTTTCATTTAACTTGCCTTGCTCATGGTTTTCATGTTGCAGAAAAAATTCAATGTTCAGAAATTGATCAAGTGATACCAACAGTCAAAAAAGTATTTTTGAAGACTCCCAAGTCATGTGGAACTTTTCACCGCACTCTACCTCTACCTCCCCAGCCAATCATCACAAGCAGGTAGGGTATTTGGCTAAAGGCAGTCAAGAACCTTCAAATAAAATACAAATTACCTGCTAATTTTGCTGCCGTTACAGAAGCTAAATCTTTGATATAAAACCTAACTTTCACACAGAATCTAGCACAGATGTACTGAAATGTTTCTAATAGGCGAAATAAAAGCCCCAAAAACCTATTAGTTTCTTTTCATGAAATATGATAGTATATTGCAACTGTCAACACAGCCATTAAAAAAAATCGATGATGCACAAGGGGACAACTGAAAAAAACAAATTTCTAGTTTTGCAGAAACACCCTGAGTGGAAGGGCATCCAACTAAAATCTGATATCTTGTGCGGAAAAACAGGTGGCGAGTGAGAACTCTGGAGTTAAATTGAATTCAACTGACATTGAAGTGTTCAATTATGTGCCAGTAACTTCAGTTGATGTGGAACATTCAGACAGTTTTGTGACCAGATGATTTTTGTTCAAGGAAGTGAAGGTAGCATTTTGTGATTACACCTATTTTGTCAGGGATCATAGGTCTTGTACAAGATGTCACATTTTTCAAATTCACTTGTTTCTTAAGATGTTACACTTGCAAAACAATGAAATTATTTTAAGTTGGATTTCAAATTTTGAGTAGCTTTTAATTAATTTAATGTTCTGAATTTCATCGAAATTTAGAACTCAATCTTTGCAAAAATATTCCCCCCAAAATGGTCATTCCTCATTATTTTCTTAACAAACAAGTTAAATTTTCTTAAAAATTAAGCTCTACTTAATGTATTTTGCTTGTACATTAATAATTTATGATATCCGTTTCTAATTTCTGTACTGGACATCTATTTGTTGCTGTTGCAGCATTTCAGTCATTAATTGCATATTACCAAATATATTTACACAAGTATGCACAGGTTTGTGTTTTATTGCATGATAATCATTACCTTCTCTTTGTGTATAAGCTATCATACCTATATGAATGATGCAAGAAGCTTGTGATAAGATACCAATATTACTCAATTGTTTTTGAATCCAAGCATTTATTGTTGTAAAATGTTAATAATAAAATCACTAGTGCTACTGTGAAATTAACTACTACTTACTGTAGAGCAAGGGAGGCAAAATTGCAATGACTGTGAGAGGAAGTGGCAATCTAACAGCATTCTAATTAGGCCACTCTTGTACCCTAATTTATAAACAAAATACAAAGCAATATTAGGAAATAGATAAATAAAAAGTTTCTTAAGAATACAAAGATTTTGTGGGAAACACCCTCTATTTCAATCATTAAGTAACATTTACACATGACATATAATGGCGCATTTTATAATTTCATCATACAGAGAATGTCAACCTTCACTAATAATAGTGTCAGTACACAGAACGGATACTTTACAAGTTTGGAAACTGAATCCGCTCATACATATGATTTTACACCAACAAAAATTTGGATTAAAAATATTTGAATCCAAATCTTAGAACATTTCTGTATACCTTAAAACAGTTTATGTCATATCCAACATATTCAGATTTAATATGTACAGAAAGTATAGGATCTTTCAATTTTGGCAGAACTACTAACATGAACAATGGTAGGGGTTAGTTTTATACACCAATTTTCGTTGTTACAGACATATACACACATTTCATCCCTATCCCATCACTTATATTTTCAACAGAATTTTTATCTGAACATGAAATATACTTCCCAAACTTTCAGCTGCCTGAGAATGTAGAGGGTAAAATGCTATTGTTGCTACTGCGTTTGAATGCTAACTATACATACAAAGATGTAAAAATGGCAGCAAGATACAAAAAAATTGTTCAGAAATATATAAATATATATGTATATATGGTCACTGTAGAGATCTTAAGACAATGTATAAACTTTTATCAGAGTTCACTTATCAAGTTTCCTAGATATGTGGGCCACGGCAGAAAAAAAGCAAGTAAAAAATCCACCAAAAAGGCCCTTTTATACACTTGTATAACAAAGCAGAAAACTCAGTCAACAATACGAATACAAAATATTTAAATAGTACAAATACAAAAACTTGTTTAAGAAAATAGTTTTGAAAAAATTGTCAAAAATTACCCAAAGGTATGTTGTTGTTGTTTTTCATGTGATGTAATAAAAATTTTATTTTTGAAACCCAGATCTACATAGGAAATCCCAACCTCAAACATCATATTATGGAAAAGAGCAATTATGCTATCTCTGTACCTCAACTTGTTTTTAAGCACACTAGCCACACTAACAAAAGGTCACCACAAATTCACTTCATTATGGCAAGGAAAGCATTGCCAGCTCCAATCACTAGCAACAATTATCATTTCCTCTATAAAAATTGTGATCTTTTATTAGGGGTTAGCAAAACTTCAAACTTAAGAGTATTCTTTCACAGGTTGTTTGCATATTCTTCAAATCTAGAACACAAGTTGCATTTCTGATAGCAGCTGTCCTTGAAACTGCTTTCACTGAGTTGAGCAGATGAAATTCCGTTTACTGCCACAACAGATGCTTCAAGGCACAAGCACATCTTATTCTTTATGGACTGGCCCAAAACACATTTTTTTAAACAAACTATATTCATATCTGTGTGTGTGCGCTTTACTGTTATATGCATCCCAGAAATGGTCCAAAACATTCATTATAGAAATAATATGCATCTCAAGGAGACAAACATTTCTTGCAAAAAATTTTGTTTTCTGATTTCTTTATTCTTCCACAGGTGATTTAGGAGCATCAGATTCTGTAGGAGTCTGAAACAAGAACAAAGATCACAGGAAGTTGAAAATTTGTATCTAGTTATTACAATGTTTATGAGTAGTGGACTACATTTTCAAAAATAAAATTATGAGGAGAATTATGGAAGAATCTGCTATACAATGAAAACAGAAATCAAAGGAGTCAGTTGTTAACGGAGGAAACTAAACATTCAAATGTTATCCATTTCATAATATACATGAAATGAAACCTTTCCCACAAATACTTCCGCAAATTTGTGTTCTTTGGGAAATACCCTAAGGAGAATAATATGCTAGATTTTGCCAAACTTTATCAGATTTTCTGGAAAACTAATATAAATTTAGCAATATCTACTAATTTTATTCTAATTAAAAAAAGCATCCCTTTTTATTTTTGGCAGGATATATTGAATTCCACTCCTTACATTCAGGGCACGCACATCTATACGTTTCGGAAGATTGGAAGCATTATTTTGAATCAAACTCAAAGACAGTAATGACAATTTTTCAATACTCTAAATTCTTAATAAAATTGTGCAGACTTTAGATCACTTTCCTACATGTTTTCACAATCCAGTCTTGTCAATTCCAATTAAACAGACCATTTGTATGCATGTTGTATAGACCACTGCTTTCACAAGTGAATGCTGGTCAACTTCATTTAGATACCTGGATGACTTCTTGCTTTTCTGTTTCTGCAGTAACTGGTGTATCTGCAAGAGCTGGAGCAGCAGCCTCAGCCGAAGCAGGTGCAGGTGCAGGTGCAGGTGCAGGTGCAGGTGCAGGAGGAGCAGTCTCTAGGGGCACTTCCTCAGGCTTAGCACCAGCCACCTCTGAAGCAGCTTCAGCCTCAGCAGCTGGTTGCTCAGGGGCAGGCTCTTGAGCAACCTTCCACACAAAATCGTTCCACTAGAATTAAAATACTCCATTTGCTACCTTGTCAAGCTAACAATTACATTTTTTTGCATTTTTGTCTTATGATCCTATTCACAATCAATTTTTTGGTTTGTTTTAAAGTTCAATCAACCGTATCGTTAACTATGATAGTACAGACATTAGGGCTTAACATATCAACAAAATTATGTATCTTATTACAGTCCAAGGAATGGAAAATACGTTCAGTTTGACTAAATATTTTGTGTATGCCGTTGTATTAGTCTAAGGTAGCAAATTGCATCCCAATTTAAAAGTAACTTCTTAATAAAACTTCTTAGAAGACTTTAGCTTACTAAAAAATTACTTTCAGGATGGCAATTCACGAATTTTGACTATGCAAACTAACAATTGCAGAAAATTTAATTTTCTTGCCTTTTCAGCTGTTACTTTAATATTGAAGCTTCATTTTAAGCCCACCCAAATAAGAGTTAAAATAGATTTAAAAAATACAACACACTTGTATTCAGCATTATCACAATGTGTGTTACTCTAGCTAAGACTAAGTATTCCATGCAAGCAAAATATTTTTTAAAAAATTACAATTTCACCACAAATTTATAATTTGTAGCAAATAAAAAAATCGTATCTGAAACACTATCTTCTGTTAATATTACCACACCATTTTCTAGGGCTAACCATTCAAGACACTAATAGCATTATACAACATTCTCATGTAAAATATAACTAATAATTTAATAATTTTTTTATCCAAGCTTATTTAATAACCTGCATGCTTGTTAAGCTTAAAGTTAAAGAGTTCATGTTATGATTGATATGAAGCAAAACAATTTTCAATATGTCAGTCATGCAATATGTTAACAACATGCAATTTTAAATTATGCAAAGTTTGTGACCATACTTTATAAACATAAGAAGTACATAATACAAAGATGAGATAAAACAATACAACACTAGATATATATACATATGGAAGGAAAACATGAAACCAATTATTGAAAAAACAAAACAGCTGCATAAATGTGAACATCTACTACTACATACTGGTGAGAGTGCACTCTCAGGGGCAGGTACTGGAACAACTTCAGCTGGAGCCTCAGTATCTGCCACAGAAGCAGGTGGAGGAACTTCTGCAGCCTGCTCTACTTTTGTGCCCTCTGCTGTTGGAGCAGGTGCAGGGGCAGATGTAGGCTCTGTACCCGTTGTGGGGACTTCCGCAGATTCAAAGGTAACTTCAGGAGCATTTGGGACAGGAGTTGCTTCATTCATTTGAACTTTCGTAGTCTCTACAGATTCATTAGGAGAACTTTCTATAACTGCTTGTGGGGCATTTGATTCTACTACTTTACTAGCAGGCTCTACTGGAGCTGGTGGAAGTTCAGGAGGAGCAGCAGATGTCTGTGAAGGTTCTGAAGAGGCAGGTGAGGCTGGGGGAAGAATTTCAGAGGGAGGAATAGAAGTTGCTGGAAGCTCAGGGGACTGAGCCGGAGCAGCCTCTGCAGGAAGGGAAGTTTCTTGCACTGGAGATTGTGAAACAACCTCTACAGGAGGGGCGGGTGCAGCAGTTTCAACTTGAGGAGGTTGAGGGGTATCTGTTACAAGTTGGGCCACTGCTGCCGACTCAGGAGCACTTGCTGCTGCTTTAGGCTGAAAAGTGAGAAGATCTTTTCTCATATCTGTGGCACCTTTGAGGAACCACACAAACAAATATTCTTCACATTATATATAAAACAAAGCAGTGAAGCATTTTATACATCTTTTGTAGCAAGGGGACAAGTAAAACTAAAGTAAGAAATATTTATGGGAAACAGAGGGTAATTCACCAAACACGCACCACAAAAGAAAAGGATCCTGGACAATCGTGTAATAAATGTTTCTAATGAACATTTAATTAAGTATTAGGTTAAGGATCTTAATGCAAGAATAAGAAGTGAACTTAAAGTGGAGTATAAAATGAAAATTACATGAAACTGTTGTATACTCAAACTACTGTTTGACACTGTTGTATACTCAAACTGCTTTTTTGAAACTTCATCTTCTAAATCTCCTTTTATAATCAATACAAGTTTAACTAAAAAAGGCAATTAATTTTTAGGGGAATTGAAACCTTGTATATATGAATTATATTCAGAAAGTATGTTAAGATATCTGCTTGCAGTAAGAATCTCCCCCCTCTTCATAGTATTTCTTCCATAAATACAATAGGAGTGGGATATTCCAAGATTTTGTAGTGTATTTTTTTTCAGGATAAAATAAATAACATAAAACATAGAATGAAAGAACAGGAAATTACCAATGAGGTGAAATAATAGCGATGTAAAACTAAGTTTAATCTATACACTTCCTTTCTATACTGAACAACTGTAGTTTAGGTTATCATTACTAGATAATCTTATTATTTACAAATTTATTTTGTGTAGAAAGAGAAAGATTACTAATAAATAAAAATGCATAAGAAACCTAAAATTCAACGTATGAAAATAATGAAGGAAATTCAAAGTATAGCAACATTTTTACCTGGATGTAAGATAATGTCTCTAAACAGAAACAGGTGAAACTACTACAATGTCAAAGTGTGTGTATGCATGTATGTTTGTATGTATATATGCACATTGTATACATTTATAAATATATGGTGAATATATAGTACCTTATAAATGAAATTTATTATAATCTCCTATTGCTGAATATGTAAGAGAGACATAAAAAAATTCCTGTTTTGATAACGTTGGAATTGGAAAGACTAGTCTAAAATTGCAACTAGTTGTCAACTATGTGAATAAAATTTATTTCCATGAACGGGCATATGCAGCACGAGATCTGGAATTCTGATCACTAGAACAAAAATCCTATTATGATCATCGAAACAATGCAAGAATGGATAATGCAACCTGCTAGCCAATACTGCCACTAAACAGATCATTCAGCACTCCGTGCTGCTATATTACTGTCAAAGTGTGATAATATATCTTAATGGAGCAGGGAATAGGATATTAAAATGAACTCTAGATTTTAAGAAAATGATAAATTTCTATCATATGCAATGAAATAAAATAAAATGTATCACAAATGATTGCATTTAGAGTTGAAAAAAATTGTATATAATACAACCTCTTTAGATGTGAATTAAGATTTTATTTTGAAGGGGCACAAAAAATAAAAGAATGGTAAATGGAGAAATAAATTTTGGACACATCGAAATCAAAGAGAAGTCAACGTCATGCCTAATGTTTAAGAAAGAAGAAAGTTCAAATTTGTTCTAGTCTTCTAAGCATCTTGGTTTATGCAGGAAGGAATGTATATTTGTATATATGCATGAATACAAATAATTTTTTTAAAGTATGAATTGAGTTATCTTACAAACTAGAGAGTGATAGTTAGCAATTCATGAATCCTTACTTCAATGAAATTTCTTGTTTTCTGTTATCATAATTAACACAAAGTGCGACACAAAATATCATTTCCGAAGAAATCCAGGGCCTCAATTTAAATTTTAAAAGGAAAACTGTGTTGTTATGATCTTACAAATACTACTGGGTAACAGTCGTTTGTGTCTTTTACGGTAATTAGATCTTCAATTTGAAAGGAGCAAAAAGTATGTTTCTTCCTGACATTTTTGATGGCTGTGTACATAATATTTACAAACATATGTACAGTAGTAAGACAGCTGTTATCCACCAACAGTCATATACGTAGTTAGCATTGACAATCCGAACACACATCAAGGTAAAATAAATTGCTTCAACAGAAATACCCATTTTTTCTTTCTCGCACTAACTCACTTCAGAAAAGAAAGTTATGTAATCGTGCGTAGGAAAACTGAATTTTCAATACTTATTCAAACTCTTATTGCCAGGATCTAGTAAGCAAAATGTGGATAAATTCAGTTTCTAAATACAGAAAAAAAAATCCTCTAATACGTGATGTAGCAAACATCCATTTTTTTGGGTCATTCACAACTAAGACAAAAAGGTTGATCGCAAAACATCCCTCTCTCTCCGTCTACTTCCCTCTCTGCCC